CAGGAAACACACAGCCTGACCTCGGTGTACCCCGGCCTCGGTCCTGCCTGTCTGGGTATTTTGCTTTTGGGTTGTTCGGTGCCCTAATTCCAGGGTTTTTAAATAAAATTTCCCTTTTATACTTAAAAGAGAAACCCTTTTTGTATTACAACAGGCGTGCCTCAAACTCCACTCCACATCAGCCCCAAGATCAATTGCTGTTCCGGCCTTACTCTGTTAAAGGAGCCCCGGTTCCTCTTGGTGGAAGTTTCTGTTTAGGGGCTGTTGCTACGGGGTTAGTCACTGCTTCTGGGCCTTTCCACAGCTGGGAGATACGTTTCTTTTGTCCATCTGTCTTTTTTTTTTTTTTTTAAGGAAAATACATCATGAGTTCATAGGGACATTCATGAATAAATTTAGGATGAAAGGGCTTTCTTATTTTATCTTATTTTCAAACGTCTGTGCATCTCCCCTTTAATCTCTTTTCAAGCAGTTGCTTGCCCACACATTATAAGCGGGGACTCTATTTAATCTGAAGGCTACGTGCTACATCTTCAAAGTATAGCCAGTCAGTCATTACCGCCATTTACCCCTTCCCTGGGGCTGGTTTCGGCGTGGGATGCTAATTAAGCTGCAGAGTAGTTCACCTGGACCGAGCAGCAAACTTGCCCTAATTAGCTGACACAGGCTTCACCCTAAATGACTGTCATCACCTCTGCAGGGGCCTGTGATGTGGTGCGGTCATGTGGTTCGGCACCGATATTAACCTGCTGTCCCCGTCAGTTTGACGCAACATCAAACAGAGCAGGGGGAACACAGGGTTTGCAAAGTGGGTCGTGGGGAAGGCCGGGAGGCGGCACCCTGCCAGGCCAGCAGCGGGACGAGAGCCCGGAAGTGCCCGCCTGAAAAGGCAGCTGTGGGCCGTGTCTCGGGGGCTGAGAACACTGCAAGTCCTATGTGTCCCCAGCCAGCCTCTCGCCAGCCCCCTGGAGTGTGAGGTCCTTAGCTCTGAGGGGAGCTCCTGTCCCTCCTGCCCTTGGGACCTAAGCCAATGGAAAGGAGCGGTGTGGTGACCGGGTTGACAGTCCTGGACTGGACACCCGAGCGCTGCAGGGAGAGTAGCTCGTACGAGTCCCCATCCCAAGGGAAGCAGTGTCTCTGCGTGTGGGGAGGGGCGTCAGCTGGAGGTGCTGTGGTGACCTATCCACAGTGCGGTTTGAACTGCGCAGGTCCACTCCCACGCAGGATCTTTCAGTACAGTGTAAATGCATTTTCTCTTCCTTATGATTTCCTCAGCATTTTCTTTTCTCTACCTTTCTTGTAAGAACACAGTATATACTACGTGTAACATACAAAAATATGTGTTAATCAATTTTATGTTATCGGTAAGGCTTCTGGTCAACAGTAGCCCATTAGTTAAGTTCTGGGGGAGTTGAAAGTTACACACAGATGCTCAACTGCGTGGGGGGGCAGGGTAAGCACCCCTAACCCCCATGTTGTTTCAGCTGTACAGTATATATGAATATCAATTATGTTGAACACCTGAAACTAATAAAATGTCGTAAGTCAATGACACCTCAATAAAAAAGAAAGAAATCCTACACCACACGCCATCAAAGCCCAACTCACGCTTCATCTTTCTCTTGAAAGCAGACTCCTTCACTTGTCTCTGCATCAACAGTCTGAGCCCTCCTTGTCCCACGGGCTAAGCCACTGACAACACGCCCTTGAACATGGATTTGACCCCTAACACAGAGTGATGAACTCCGCAGAGCAGGGCTGTGCCTTATGATTCTTGCCTGTGACCAGGGCGGGTGTTTCACAGACATTTGCTTCTTCGTTGTTTCAGCCTGCGTCACCCACTCGGCCACAAGCAGTTTGTCCACAGAGGGCTCTCTGCACGTGCAACTTCCGGACTAGAAAACGTGTCCTTTTGATTATCTCACTGAGTCTTCTGACGACCCTGTGAGGAAATGAAGCAGGTGTTTGCGCCCATTTCCCGGAGGAGGCAGGTGAGGCTGTGAGCTGCTCAGCACCTGCTGACCGAGGTGGCTTCCTGGAGGGCAAGCCCAGCGAGCGCCCTGAGCCCCCGCGCCCTTTGCCTCCCCCAGACCATGGCGGTGCTAGGAAACATTTAACATGGTCCATACACCTTGGAAAAGATGCAAAAGGGTGGCTCTGGTCCTTCAGAGGCGTGCTGGCACGCTACATCACGGGCCCAGCTGAGGGTCTCTCTAATCTGACTGAGAGCGGTCCTCAAACATTTTGGTCTCAGGGTCCCTTAGACCCTCAAAATTCTTGAAGACGCTGAAGAACATTTGTTTCTCTGTGTTATAGTTGACAATTAAAACTGAACTTTTAAAACATTTACATGTTAATTTAGAATTAACGGTCAGCCCATTATGTATAAACATAAACGACATATTTTTAAATAAAAAATCACGTATTTTCCAAAACAAAAATAAAAGTAGTGGGAAGGGTGGCCTTGTTTTTACATTTTGGTAAATCACCGAAACGTCCACTTTAATGGAAGAAAACCGGACTCTCAGGTCTGGTTCTGCACTCAGCTGCTGCAAGAGGCTGCTGGTCGAACAAGGTATCAGCAAAAGTCAGCCCCACGCAGACGCGTCGTTGGGGAGGGAGGAGTATTTCTGTAGCCTTTCAGATGTGAGACCAAAACTCGAAAATTCATAAAAGATCACCAGGGACGTGGAGTCTGGAGCTATCTGCACCAAGGAGCGCTCTGCAGGCTTTTTTCCCCTTAGGATCCACTGCTCTACCAGGAATTGGAATCCATCATTTGTCCACGTGGGGCAGGCACAGTAATGGCCTCTAAAGACATCCTCTTCCTACCACCCCTAACCTGGGAGGGTCGCTGAGAAATCCCGAAGCACAAGAGAGGCAGATGCCACACTGCTGCTCTCGAAGATGGAAGGACTTCCAAGAGCCAAGGAAGGTGGGGGCCTTCAGAGGCTGAAAAACAGAAGGAAACACACTCCCCACGAGAGCTTCTGGGGGCACTCAGGCCAGGGCGGCACCCTGACGTCAGCCCCGGGAGCTTGTGTCAGACTTTGGACCCACAGAACTGCAAGGTAACCGGGTTGCTTCAAGCCACGGAGTCTGTGGTGGCTGCTAGGGCACAGGAGGAAATACCTACAGCAGGCAGGACTTGGAGCAGCAGGAATGGCCCCGTGGGAAACGAGGGTTCGCTGACCGACCCACAGTCTCTCAGTGATGATGACGTGTCTCGCTCCACGGCAGAAGCAGCTCCCCTTTGTTAACAGCCCGCCGACCTCGCCCCAAGACTTGTCCGCAAACTGTGACTCTGTCAACACCAGCTTTCCAACGCTTTCACTTGGAAACTGATTTTATTGTTGGCAACAACCACTGTAGGTGATTTTCCTTGAAGTGACAGACTGACTCCACTCAGGTTTGAAACAGTGTTGTCCACAGGACTGAAGTCCGAGAGACGAGCCTGTTTGCCAGATGCCCCCTGCGCTTTGCAGGTGCCACGAGGGCTCCATACAGTGCCCGTGTGATCTCCCAGGATATAACAACCTGAGAGCCCAGGGTCAAGTTGCGATAAGGTCAATGTGCCTACACCTCATCAAGGACACCAGGTTGTGAATTGAGTGTTATTGAATTTTGTTGTTTTAGCTTAAAAATTTAGAGTAGCTTTTTATTTAACATTAAAACAATTTTTGAAAAAGCTTAGTATTGAATAAAATTGGCTCTCAAGATCAGGGCTCACTTTTCAGCACTACTGACCCTTGCAGGCCAGGTAACCCTTTCATGGGCGTGTCTGCAGCCCTTGCTGGGATGGGGGCTGTCCCAGGTACCGGAAGGTGTCAAGCAGCACTGCCAGCTTCTCCCCACCAGATGCCAGGAGCACCCCCAACTTACGACAACCAAAAGTGTCTCCAGACATTGCAAATGCCCCCGGAGGAGCAAGGTCACCCCCGCTGAGAACCAAAGCTTTATCAGGGGTGTCCAACCTCTGGGCATCACTGGGCCACACTGGAAGAAGAGTTGTCTTGGGACACCCATTAAATACATTGAGACGTGTAATCACAAGAAAACCTCATAATGTATTAAGTAAATTTACAGTTTTGTGTGGGACCGCATTCACGGACACATGCAGCCCACACCCTGCTAGATCTTCTGGTTTCAAGTGCCCCGACACCTACCACTGACCCACTTTCAGAAACCAGCCCAACCACGGGTGGCGTCCGTGACACAGGCAGTGGACTTCGAGGTCTCACACTGCTAAATTGGTTTTGAAAGCCTGTGAACACATTTGCAAGTGAACATCTAAACATTTTTATCATACGTTCAAATAGTTATAAAGAATCTATTCTCTGCTCTTATACATTATAGACATGCTTTAAATATACTTCACTGAAAACCTTAAAGCTGAAAAGAACTCATTAAATTAGTGGAGAACGTCAGCTAGAAACCCAATTTTGTCTGGAATAAACCAGTCAACTCAGGCTACAGTGACTCGTAAAAGAAAAAAAAAAAAAAGGAGAAGACAAACGTACTTAGAAGGGCTCCTAGTGGCTTAAAAAAAAAGAAACTGCAGAGCCTCGCAGCCATTCGCCAACCGCACACTCGGAAGCACCAGCACTGACCCGCCCCGCTCTGCGGTTCTGCCGTCTAGGGTCTTGGGTTTCCTGAATGAGTTCAACCAATAGGACTGATGTTTTCCCTCCGAAGGTGCCAGCTCTGGCCAATCGGAGCGGCTCTACTCTGACCAATCAGGGACCTTCTGGCGGGGGTGGGGCGCACAGTTTCCACCGAGTACAGCGTTTTTCAGGAGCTGAGTCACGGAAGCCGGCCGAGAGCGGAGCAAGGAGCTCTGATACTGCAGAGGGGCCTGGCCCCAGGGCAGCCTCCGGGCCGTGCGGGTCTCCCTGGCACGCCGCATCGCCACTGAGCTGTTCGGCAGCGGCGCTGTGCCCCTCCACTGTGGGCGGTTCGCAGGGAATAAAAGTTTCCACCCCACCACGCCGCAGAAGCCCCGCCCCCATCCCGCGTCCACCCCGGTCGCTGGGCCCGCCCTGGTGTGAAGGCGACTGCGCGCCACGCCTGGGGGCGTGGTTTAGGCCTGCCCGCCCCGCGGGATCTGCGGCGCGGGCGGCATTGGCCGTTGGCGTGGCTTGGGCGGTTGTCTTGGAGAAGCAAGATGGCGGCGACGGCGGCCCCAGTGGTGGCGGAGGAGGACACGGAGCTACGGGACCTGCTGGTGCAGACGCTGGAGAACAGCGGGGTCCTGAACCGCATCAAGGTGGGGCGGGTGGCCGGCAGCTTGGCAGAGGAGGCGGCGACCGGGCCGCTGGGCCCTGGTGGATGGCAGGCGCCACAAAGGGCCGGGGGCGCGTTGGGCTGGCCGCCTGAGCGGGGGCGGGACCGCGGGCGGGATCGGGTGTCAGGGTCATTCCAGGTCCCGGGTTCCCTGCTGCCGCGGGCGGCCGTGGGGGTGGGGCGGCGGCGCGTTCGCGGAACCGGCTTTTAGATGCCGTGGGACTGCACCGGCAGGTGACGCTGGGGACGGCAACGAGTCCCGGCTGCAGTCTAGCCGCCGCACCTGTCCTCCGGCGTCACTGTCCTGCTGGTTTGCACTTGAGGCTGTGCTGGTGTGGACAGCGCCCGTGGGACTTGCGTGTGTGCCTTTCTTGTCATGAGAATTGTCTCGAAGCAGTTTTTGTTCCATTACCTTTTTATATTTTAAAGGCTGAACTCCGAGCAGCTGTGTTTTTAGCCCTAGAGGAGCAAGAAAAAATAGAGGTATGAAATCCATAAATTTAATTGTGGTTCTATTCACTTACGTTGAATTTCTGATCACTTAAAAACCATTCTAAAATGCTACTTACTGTAGTGTGTAGACAGGGATAATTTTGAACTATTAAGGATTATATTCCTTTATTACAGGAAGAGAGTCAAAATTTCTCTTTTTGTGGGTATTTCAGAGTTTTGGGGTGGTCTGAGGCAGTACTAATTCCTGATTATCATAGATCCTGACTGTAAGGCGCTCTGAAATACAGGTCTTAGGACTTATTTGAAGAGATGGTTCCGTTGTCCGAGTTTTCTCCAGGGTCCCTTGGGACCTTTAGTAACAGGCTGATGTGCACGGTGACCCCCCGCTGCACCGGGAGTGTAGCACTACCTTCCCCCAAACTGTCAGACCACCCCCTTGTTTCCAAGCCACTCAGTCTGTCTTATTGTCAGAAGGCCCTTTCTCTGTGTTTAGTTTTTTCTCTCTATGCCAAGTCCCGCCACCGTCCTGAGTGAAGATCCTGAAACTTGTCCATGAGAACCACCCCATCGTTCTGGTCTTCAGCCCCCTCTGTGACAAACCAGTCTCCTCTGCTCTCACTCCTTTAGACCCACAGGCCTCCATGGAGCCCTTCAACTTGGCTCCTCTGTGTTTTACCAGTGTCATTCTCCTGTCATCTGCCTCTGGTCTGGACCCCTTGGTCTGTGCTTCAGAGCCTCGCCCTGAAGCCTTCCTTGTCCAGAAACAAGTCCGAGAGGCCACAGGCCACAAGTCCGACTCCCGCCTTGTTTGTGCTGCACACTCACCGGAGCGGTCACCGGGCCTGTGGACTGCCGAGGGCCCTGGGTGGTGGGCGCTGCCCTGCGGGTGCTTCCACCTCACTCCTGACCCAGGGTCTCAGCTCTCCAGGGTGTGCGGACGCTTGGGTTCTGGCGTTGCGCCCTCCCCCTCGGAGAGCTCCCTACCTCCATCTGTGCCGCCGTCCCCCGGCCCAGAGTGGTGGCCTCCTTGGGTCAGCCATCCCGTGCTCTCAGCTCCTGCCAGTGGCTGTGTCTCTGTCACGCCCTTGCCGGGGGCTTGTCTCTGCTCCCACCGCCGCTCTGCCTTTCCCTCACAGTCAGGCTTTGAAGGAATGTGTGTCTAATACTATTTCTTAGGTCCCAGGTACCCTTCAATCCATGAACGACCTCAAGTCCGTGGCTGCTGCGCCTCAGTGATTTCTTCTGCCACGGTCAGCAAGAACCCTGACCGAGTGTGTCTTAGTGCTCACCCAGCAAAGTTACTTTGTGGCACTTGACATTTTTAATTCCTCCTTCCTTCCTGCGAACCTCCTTCGACTTTTGGGATTTTTCCTGCTCTTTTTTCTTTTGACCACTCCTGGGTCATAAGACCTGCAGTGTGATCTTTCTCCTATTCCCCTCACCAAGTTCTAGGGACAGCATCCCATCATGTCATTCTCCCTGAGTGACTGTGCCCGCACCAGTGATGTCAGCCTGCACCCCTGATCCGAGTCGCCCTCCTGAGCGCTGGGCCTGTAGTGACTGGCCAGCTCCGCTAATGTTCCTCACGAGGACCATTACTCAGCCAGGCAACACACCCGAGAGGCCTGCCCTTCTTGCCCTGTGTCCCGTCTGGTTCTGTCTGTCCCCTCTGTTCCTCATTTGTTTGAGGAGCTTCTCAGCTGCCTCATGGCCTCTGCTTCATGACTTTTTGCCAGGTGGCTTTCCCTTCCGTGCTCTCTGTCGCTGCTGTCCCTGCCAGCTGCCTGAACGTCCTTCCCCGTGGCGCCCCTGGGTGGGCCGTTTGTGGTGCACACTCGGCCTTGCCCTCCATTTCTCTGAATATTTCAGTTGACCCCACGTCTTAAAATTGCCTAGACCAGCTTGCAAGGATCTTCGTAATCTTTACCCTCCTTGTCATTTTTGAGTTGAAAAAACAACTATTGAGGTATAATTGACCTACAATGAACTCAGTATACTAAAAATGTATAATTTGATACATTTTAACATATTTATGCATCCACGAAACAGTCAAGATAGCAAACGTAGCCATGGCCCTCAGAAGGTGCCTTAAGCTCCTCCACGCCCCTTTGTATTGCTCCCACCCCCGGCAACCCCAGTGTCTTTAACAGCTAGACAGGTGGGGTTGTCCACACTTTTTTCTGGAGAGGTGTCGAGCTGCATTCATTTAGCATAATCAATTTAAGATTCATTCCTGTGGTCAGTTGTGATCATGGGCAGTTCGGTTTGGTTCCTGCGTAGCACCCGCCATGAGTTGTACAGTTGAGTCGTTCACCTGTCCGTGGACGTCGGGCTTGTTTCCAGTTTCCAGCTCTGACGAATAAGGTTGCCGTGAGCACCCACGCACGTGTCTGTGGCTCTGTGCTCGCTCTGCTCTGAGGAATCACCTAGAGGGATAGATTGTACGGTGGGGTATCTTTAGCTTTTTAAAACACCGGAGCCTGCTCTCCAGAGGAGCTGCACCGTTTCATGTCAGCCGTGTGTGAGGCTGCCACTCTGCCCGACCGTGTGGCCTGCGTGACGAAGCCGTGGTGTGCTGGAGATGTGCTCTGCTCGTTCAGATGGTGTCTGATGACGAGACAGGCGGCCTGTGGCCACGGGAAGTCGTCTCACCACGGCTGACGGGACGGGGCGGCACGTGCACTCGGGTCCTGTTCGTAGTGCGCGTGTCCCAACCGTGTCCGACTTCGCGTCGCGGCAGCCAGTCGTCTTTATAAGTAAACTCAGTGTTGTTCACGTGCATCTGTAAAGCTCTAGCTTTTGAAAGCATTTTAATAAGCAATTTGTAAAACGCTTAAATACACAAACCGTATATGGTTTTGTTAACTGAGATATAAAGTGGTACAAGACAGTTATTTTAATAATCAGGTGTGGAATGGGGTTAACCGTAATTTTCTGGGTGGCAAATTTTATATCTTTGCCAAAAAATTACACTTTGATCGACATTTTGTAGCGTTCTTATGATAAACACATGATACTTAACACAATATTTCATTTTTTCAACAGAACAAAACTCCTTTAGTCAATGAAAGCCTGAAAAAGTTTTTAAACACCAAAGATGGTAAGATGTTCACTTGTTCTTGTTTATGCAGCTGTCTCTGAATTTCAAATCTGGACTCCGTGTGGGCGACGTCAAGGATTTCCGACTGTGTTTGGAACTCTGGGACCCTGTTTTTATCACACAGCTGCTCAGCTGTGTCATGTTGTTGGTCCTGGGACACTGGGTACCCCCAGTTGCTGTAGGGCGCAGGACACAGTGACGCACTGGTGAAGCATCACGCTGACTGATGTCACTTCCAGAGTTGGGGCCCGATGAAAAGGTGGGGGGACCAGGACTCTGATCGCTTCACAGGACTGTTGGAAGGCTTTGTCGTTTAACAGTAGAGACTGGACGCACTGCGTGTCTCCCACTAAGGCAGGCGTCCCGTGTCCCCCCGCTGGCACTGGGGCTGCAGGCCCCCAGAAAACTCGCTCACTGCCTCTTTTCCTCTCTTCACAGGCCGGCTGGTGGCCAGTCTGGTGGCGGAGTTCCTTCAGTTCTTTAACCTTGACTTTACCTTGGCCGTTTTCCAGCCCGAAACTAGCACAGTAAGAATGATGATTTTTCATCACCTTTGAAGCCTTTGCTAAAATGAGTGCATGATAAGCCGGAAGGTAACACTTGGCAACTTCTAGTGTCTCGCATGCAGGTGATTTTTGTAGCTGCCTGTTTTTCTTCAACACCTGCGCTGTCTGCTGGCACTGGGGTCCCTGGTTTATTTAATTTGAAGGGACTGTTATCACACAGTTAATTTGTCATGACCTTAGACTCGCCTGTTAATGTAGACTTTGAATGTAGAGATCGGTAAAAGAAAAAAGTAATAAAAAATCGAATCTTGCGTTTTCCATACAGAAAATCCCAAACAGAAGTTGGCTTGTGTTGTGGCCTCGTGCTGTGTGTCTTCATGCTACACCTGAGCAACTCTGTGCTTCCCGGGAGAGGGAGAGACGCCCCCATCCCCTCCAGTGAGGGCAGTCGGGGGGGGGGGACCTCAGGCAGGGTGCATGGCGGTTCCTGCTATGCAGAATTCTAAAAAATGGACATTTCCCTCATTGGAAAAACAGTCTCTGAGTGTAGAGATGTCTCTAAGTTCTGAAGGCATTTTTCTTTAAACTCTGAAAATAATTTTGTTGCGTGTTTGCCACTCAAAGCTCACTTTTCCGTCTTCCTTCTTCCCTAGTTTCAAGGACTGGACGGTCGGAAGGATTTAGCCCGGGACTTGGGCATTACTGAGGCAGAAGGTGCTGTGGGGGGGCCTCTGCTGTTGGAGGTGATCAGACGCTGTCAGCAGAAGGGGGAAGGGCCAGCCGGCGGGCAGGTGAGTGCAGGCCTGCGCTTCGCCTCCATTTTCATCACTGGCCGCCTGGGGCAGCCCTGCCGTCCCTGTGTGCACAGTGACTGAATCGAGGTTCGCATAAGACCAAGTGAAACGCACTTGGATTGTCGAAATGCACGTTTTAGTGAAAACTGCAGGTGTGGATGTGCCCAGGCTGCTGCCACCCCTGTTCTGTGGCTCCGCCCCGCTCCCCACCCCCGCCGCTCCGTGGAAGGAGTCCCAGAGCACCTCCCGGGCATCCCGGGCCCTGCCTGTGAAGTGCGGGGGCCTCAGCTCGGGGGCCTCAGCTCGGGGTCAGCTGTCACCGTGGTGCTATTTCAAACATTCAGGGGCCGCTGTATAGGCTCGTTAATTTTTAAACTGAAAGGCTTTTTAAAGCTGGACTTGAAACTGTATAAGCTATTGATTTTGCTGAGTTTCTAACCATGTTCAGATCTCTGCATTTCTGATTGGCCGTCGCTGTTGTCACTCTTACCCTTCCTGTTTGGGAGTGCGGGTAACGAGAGCGGCGGTCTGCTGTCTGCTTACTCACGCTGTTTTCGCGGTGGGCCGCCGCTCCCGGGCGGAGGCGGGCCTGCACCGCCCTGGGCAGCCGGCGCCGCGTGTGCCTCTGGCCCCCGTGGTGCGGGAGAGTGTTGGGGGGTTACCGGCTGCCCGCTGTGTGCTCCGCCCGGAGCATCTCGGAGTGTGTTTCCTGTGAGGATCTTTGAAAACCAGTAAAGCGTGACTGAGTACTCCGTGCGTAACAAATAGGTTGTTCTACTTAAAGGTAAAATGTAGGAAAATTATGAGTACCAAAAGAGTGAGGGCTACTCGAGGTAAGATGCTTTCAAGGAAGTGGACATGTGAAGGATGGCTTATGACTGTAGAGGAATCATCACCCAGTAAGTGATAGTTGTAAACATTTGAGTGATTTTGAGGAAGGGGCCCGGGTTCCACGTTGAAATTTTGTTCGCCTCCACCTGCGCTTGAGAGCAAGGCGGTGGCCCGGGGAGTGTGCTGGGGACGGAGGTTGCGCTGGCGCGGGGAGGCGGAGCGCCCCGGGGCGTGGCCCGACCGGAGCGCGGTTGTCACTGCAGCCTGAGCCCTGTCACTTCATTCCGTGCAGCCGTCACACAGGGTCTTGGTGTGCACGCACCACCCGTGGGTGCGTGCTGGCTACTAGTGATCGGAAGGTGACATGTTTAAAAGACCCTCCTGAGCCGGCAGCCCGTGGTGGGAGCGATGCCTCCTGGCTACTGTGGCCCTGACCTCCGTCTCTCTCCGTACCCCCTTCACGTGGTTCCCAGTGGCTGTTGGGTTCACCTGCATGGTGGCTGCCCCTGTTTTCTCCCTGGTTCGCTCTCCTTTCCTTAGTGTCCAGGACCAGCCAGGACTCTGGAGCCAGACTGTATGGGTTCGTACCCAGCTTGGCCACGCCCTGTGTGCGACCCCATTCAGTCCCGCACCCCCGGCCTCAGGCTCCTCCTCGGTGCAGGGGAGGCAGTACAGGAGCAGAGCCGGGCACGCGGAGACCCTTACCACTGTGTGTGATGTTGTTACCTTTACCGCCCGGATGGCTCCCAGGGTGTCAGACTCCTCCTCCCAAGACACACCCCCCAGGTTAGCCCACCAGGCCCTGCAGTCCTGTGTGAAAAGTGCAACTTTATTGTCTTTACTGCTAGCAGAGTGAAAGGGACCCAAGACGAAAGTCCGCTTCTGTACCTTCTCCCACGCTTCTCTGTGTGCGTTCTGCCCCTCCCGCTCCTTGGCTCCAGCCCAGGGATTTGCCTGCTGGCACCCGAGGGGCCCTTCAGTTTGCCCAAAGGTTCTGTGTGAGGCGGGGCCAGCCTGGTGTCCTGAGAGTGGAGTCCACTGCAGAGAGTGGGGACCAGTGGGGCGGGGGCAGGTGGGACAGGGGCAGGTGGGACAGGGGAGTGGGCGGGGCTGGCAGGAGGCGGGCAGGGAGGGGCTTCCCAGGCTCCCGGCGGCAGAGGGAAGTGCCCAGCCAGGGAGGCGGGTGCTGACTGCCCTCTGCTTTTTCAGATTGAAGCTGGGGGAAGTCTAACGAGGGTGCGGACAGTATCTGGGAGAATCAGTGTACCGACATACGTAGTGGTTCTGAATGCCCCAGTTCTGTGGAGGTGTAGTTCTAGTCATGTCTCGTTTCTGAGTGTTAATTTTAAACTGCACGTTTCAGGGTGCACTAGACGTGGCTGCCGTGCACCCACCCCCGGCGCCACCGGACCGAAACGCCAGTGTGCACACGGGCCCCAGCAAGGTGAGTTGGGGGCGGGGCGGGCCTCCTCTCTGGCCTTGCTTGTCGCTCGCTCATTTTGTTTCGCCGCACCGGCGCTGCTGAGTGTCCCAACAGTGCTTTCCCCTTTGATGGCGTGTGTTTTAAAGGAGCCACTTCGTTGGCAGCTCCTCGCACTCTGTGTCGCAGGGAGGGCAGGGCGTGCTGGGGACGAGCAGGGTCGTGGAGCGGCGGACGGACCCGCGGGTGCCGCACACACTCTGTTCCCCTCCCCGGAGCAGAGAGGCTCGCTCACGTTCCACGCGTGGATCCCGACCAGGGACGTGGGGCTGCAGAACACAGGGCGTTGTGGACGCTGCCGCTGGGCGGCCAGATCTGGCGTTGTTGGTCAGGGTGGGTTTTGATAGTCACGAGCCCTTTTGAGGGTTTATGGGAAGTCTGCGTGCTGGGGCTACACTCACTTGTGGTTTGTGCGTTGTTGAGTCGAGGCCGCCTGATTCCGGGTTTCGGATAAGGGGAGACAGATGGAGTGGGCACTCAAAGTCGAAGTCTGAGACCCTCGTGCTTGTGCCAGCGGGGGGGAGACAGCGGCGTGCCCAGGGACCTGCCCTCTCGCTGCAGCCTGGGCAAGCAGCAGAGTGCGTGGCGACTGCCCTCTGACCCCCACCCCCCAGCCGTGCTGAGAGCGAGGCTGGCGACAGCACAGGGGTGGGTCCTGGCACAGCCGGGCTGGTGGGCGCAGGTGCTCGGAGCGGCCCGGTAGGGCTGCGGGCGGAGCCCTGAGGGCGGCTCCTGCTGCAGCCTGGCCTTGTGGGTCCCCCTCACTGTCTCAGTTCGGAGGCAGAGGCCTGGGATGCGGTGCCCTCCTCGAGAGCGGAGCGCTTGTGCTGGGGGGTGGGTCCTGGAAGGCTCTTCGCCCTGCTGTCCAGGGACAGCAGAGAGCAGAGCCAGCCCGGGGGCAGTCCCAGAGTCCAGTCCTGGAGTCCCTGGGTGTGACCTGCAGGGAGGGGAGCCTCTGTCCAAGGCTCTGCTCTCGAGGGGCTGACACTCACCCCCATCCCAAAGCTCTGACTTGCACCCAGCGCACCAAGCCGTCTGGAAGTTTCCTTGTTAGCAATTGTTAGAGTGGGATAGCAATACTAATCTTTCACAGATGTTGTGTCTGCAAGATGAGATATCGATGGCTGTTTTACGTATTCTGGTTTCTTTACATAAATTTTTTTTAGATTTAAGATCATGACAAGAATCTGAGGTTTTAAGTCGGTTAGGAAATGCTGCTCTAACCCGGCCGGTGATTTTCAGCCAGTGAGCCTCACAGACCTTTAAAACACGTGGTGCCTGACTCTTGAGACAGACCCTCCAGGGTGAATGAGTCAAAGTCACACCTGTTTCTTTCTCAGATCGACAGGAAACATATCCTGCTGCAGGCTGCAGGCTTCTGGCCCCAGTCCTTGTGCTGGGAGGTGGGAGAGGTCTGAACCCGCTGATCCGAGCGGCCCCGGGGGAGGGCTGGAGGTGGCTGAGGCCGGTCAGGGAGCGGTCTCCAGGCCTGCGGGGTCCACACTGCTCAGGCCTCCCGGCCCGTGTGGCAGTGGCCCGCAGTAACACCGGAGCCCAGCTCCGCTGGCCCCGGCCGAGGTGCACTGTGGTCCTGACAATGTGCGTTTGGGATTTCAGACCTTTCCTCCCCCGTTTCACCGCGGCTTCCCTCTTGCCCCAGGGGCTCATTGACCCCCTTGGGGGCTCTAGCTGGGCCTGCGGTGTCGGCGTCCTGTCTGTCTGGAGCTCCACCGGGAGCAACGGGGGCTCTGGAAGGAGAGGGGCGGAGGCCAGGCCCCACGCTGCCTGTGGGTGTGCAGGGTCGGCTCCTTCAGAGCGCCCCCCCCCCCCGGCCCACAGCTGCTGGGCAGGGCCTCTCATCAGGAACCTGCTGAGGAAGAGAGTTCAGGCCAGAAAAGTGGGTTTCAGAAGGGAACATGATGAGTATCTCCATTTTTAAGACATTCTGTAGTAGGATTCCTTGACCATTTAGTTATGACAGTCTGTTACTGAAGATCTATGCGTTGTGGTAAAATGTCACTTTATTCCCACGCTCAGATACCCAGGTTCAAAGGCCAAGGTAAGAAGAAGACAAGCGGGCGGCAGCCTGGTGCCAAGGTAACGTGCATGGGGGCGGGGCAGCCTCGCGTGCCCCCGGGGCAAGTCCTGCTGGCAAGGCCACCTTCCCTTCCGAGTGCCACGCCCTCTCTTCTGCCGTCAGAATGGCGTGGAACGCAGAATAACCGGCCCTCAGCTTTCACCCGGGCGGAAATTGTGCCGTTGTGTTCTCACACTACAGTCGATTTTATCTTGGGGTTTCCTTGGCTTCTGGCCACGGAAACGTTGAAAATACTTGTTTTTCAAATGGGTGGTTGCATGCGTGTCCTTGACGTGATGATTTCAATCTGAGGTCAGTGGCACAGCTGCTTCGTGACACGACTTGGGCGGTGAGTTAAAGGCTGAGTCGTTTCCTCCCGGGCGCTTTTGGGCTCAGCAGCTGTGAAGCCGTTGCCCGCTGGCTGGCCCTCGAGGCCCGGCTCCCGTGGCCCGGCGGGGACACGCGAGGAGGAGTGTGCATGTGGCGGTGACCAGTGCCTCGGCTGCTTTTGTTTCCTCCCCAGAGGTCACCAGCCAGTAGACTGACTCCTTTAGAGTTTGAACAGTAGAGGTCTCAGAAGCATTACTAACCAGCTGGCCTGCACCCGTGCGTAGAGGAAGACAGACTCATTCACCCCTTAACTCCAGGGGTCCCGCAGTGCCCTCGGGCCCGGCTGTGCGGAGTGCGGAGGGCCTCCGGGGTGGGCGGGTTCTGCGCCTGTGTGTGCTGTGTGGCTGCAGTCCTGGCCTCTGCGGCGGCTTCCCGCCCCTGCGTTCGTGCCCCTTGTTTCCGTGGCCCCCCGTGTGGGAAGGTGCCTTACGGCAGGTCGGTCTGACGTCCACCTGGAGAAAGTCGCTGCGCTGGGCGTCTGGGCAGGACGTCCCACGGGCCCTCGGGTCGGCGGTTCGCAGTCCACCCAGAGGGGTGAGAGGAAGGGAATTAAAAATACAAAACGGCACATTGTTAACGGGTGCTTTTCATCAGTTTCTTGGACTTCTTCAGAAGAATTAAGAGCACATTCCATAGTATTCAGTTTTTATAGTCTCGCTGGTGTCCCAGGGTTTACAGAGTCGAGCGTTTGAGGAACTGGCTACGTAGATACATAGAAACCAAGCACGGGGAGGACAGCGTCACCTTGTGTCATGGAGCAGTGTGGCAGCAGACCTTCGGGGCGGGCGGAGGAGGACGGGGCCCGTGTCCTCTTGTTCCCGAGCCCCTGTCCCGTGCCGTGTCCCCCCGAGCCCCTTCTCCCTCCGCTCCCGGACCTGGCTCCAGAGCCACGTACGAGACGTCTGCTATGCCCGGCAGGTCTCCAGCCTCGCAGAGGGGCCCCGACTCCGTGTCTGCCTGTCCGCTTTGCGTCACGCCTGCACCTGCTTCCCGGGGTCCTCATGCCCCCCACCCCTGGCATCTGACCCCTCCCCAAGCTGCGGGGGTCACGGAGGCTGCAGACAGCAGGCAGGACTCTAGGTGGCGCCTTCCGCACACGGCTGGCGGAGCCCTTCCAGCTGGGAGGAGCCCTCTGCAGCCCCTAGTGGCCCTGGTGTCAGTTGGCTCAAGTTGGTGAGCCAGTATGCCCTGCAGGGCCCTCGAGGTGGGGGGGCAGCAGGAGGGGCGGGGCACACAGCAGGGCCTGCGGGGGCCTGTTGCTGCTTTGTTGTGCTGCCGGCGTGGGCACCGCTGGCGCGGTTGGGGACGTTTGGCCGTGTTCAGAGGAGCAGCAGCCACGTTGCAGGTCAACTGCGCCGTTCAGTCCTGTGTGTGTAGACCCGATTGTAGTTGGGGTTGTGAACCTGTCGAACCTTAGCAGAAGCTAAGGTTTTGAACTCCTTTACCTCGGGTGGAGTAAAAGCTGCGTTTCTGGGTTTTGGTCTCGCGGTGAGTCAGCGGGAGGACAGAGGAGTGGACGACCACGTGGGTGCCCAGCGGGTGAGAGGGCGTGTGCTCACCGAGTGAGCGGCCTTCCGTGGACGCTGGCTCGTCCCTCCAGAGAGTCCCCGAGTCCCTGCAGGCCGTCCTGCCGCACCGCCAGAGGAGAGGGTCCACACTGGGAGCGGGCTTCTGCCCTCGGTTGGAAACACTGAGTGGGGGGTTCCGTTTTTGTTTTCAGTGTCTAGAACGGGGTGTTTTATACCGTCACGTTAAATGTACCGTGGAAGGTCAGCCTTTTCAGAATTAGTCTTCCGGCAGACGTTTTAGAACTAGTGTCGATTGAGGTGTTTTTTTTCTTCAAGTTCTTAAAAAAGGGCCATTTCTTCAAACCTTCCTCCTCGTTTTCAAGATTCTTGGATAAGCCCAGCTTTTTGTTGAGTTAGAGCGGTGCAGGGTCCAAGCCTGTGTGTGTCTGGGGAGGTGTGTCTGCGTCTCTCACACCTCGGGCTCCTGCTCTAGACAAGCCCAGTGTGGTCATTTCCTACGCAGACATGCGCACACACGCCCTGACTGCGTGAATGCACATGCGTGCACACCGAACACGCACACTCGCCATCGGCACTCACCGCCCTCCCCGGCCAGCCGTACGGTCCTGCTGCCGACCCGAGACTTCACTGCAGGGGCCTCCTTGTCCACTGGACCCCGAGCTGCCGGTGGGCAGGTGCGGGGGGTCATCTTCCGGTCTGGTTTCAAAGCCAAGGAGCTGGGTCTCCTGTGCGCCTGCGGGAGTTTCACACGCTTCCAGAGCAAGGAGTAGAGTTTCTCTGGGAAAGCTGAGTGTTTAGAAAGGGGTTGAAATTTTTATGATTCTGGAATTCTGCAGTGTTCAGTTGTCAGGTGAATGAGTTAAACTTTCAGGTGTGTTTGTGTGTTACAGAAACACCTTGAGTGGGTTTGGGGGTGGGGAGCTGGGCGGGAAGACAGTTTGCAGGAAGTTCCTGAAAACTTGGAGACCTTTCTTTGGCTTTGATGTGTCTCTTTATGAGCAGCAGTTCAGATGAAAGTCTTTAGTTTGGAAAAACTGAGTTGTTTCTAGGTTCTTAAGACGTTCTAGTGATGATTCGAGTGTCTGGCTCCCCGGCTGTCAGTGGTTAATCTCACTGTGAAGCCTGTCTCTCTGGGACGCTGACCTGGAGGCGGTGAGATGCTGGAGGCAGGAGGTTAGAGACACGCAGACGCTCTCTTCCCCCTTGACTGTAACTTCCCGGAAAGCTCACGGCTGAGTACCCGCTGCTGTGCGGCGCCGTGACGCAGTGGGTCTCTTGCATTTACAGAGACAGAGCTTCATGGTGAATGCCTTTACCAAAAATAGGTACTGCCACCACGTCTGTTAGGTCCTCTGGCCACTGTCACAAAGCATTACGACCGCTGTGGCCTGACCCACAGATGCACACGGTCTTCATGGTCGTGGAGGCCGGCAGTCTGAGGCCAGTGGCCTGGCCATCCTGGGCTTGTCCCCGGTGTCACAATTCCCTGGTGCTCTCCTGTGTGTCTGTCCCCCCTTGTGAGGACACAGACGTGCGGGGTTAGGGGCCTGTCCTCTCCAGGTGGACCTCGGCCGGCCACCTCTGCTGTGATCCTGTTGTGAACGAGGGCCTGCGCTGGAGTCCTGGAGCGGAGGCTCAGTCCGACTTTTCTGGGGAACCCTGTGTCCCAGACAGTGGTGGAGGCCCCGCGGTCGGCCAGGGAGGGGGTTCTGAGGCACTGCCCTGGGTTCTGCTTCCTGCTGTTGGTCACACGTCTTGGTTTTAACCAGCTCCCAGCCTTAGGTCCGGATTCCCCCCCAGTCTCAGCTCTGGTTTGCCCGCACTGGGGACAGGACTCAGGGACGGCGTTTGTGTGGACTGTGGTCACGACGGGTGCTCAGCCGGAGACTGGGTTGAGAGCAGGTCCCAGCGGCCCATCGAGAGTGGGCTTGTTGCTCGGGGTGTGGGCGCCCCGAAGGACGGCCTTGGCGTGAGTCTGCAGGCTGTGTTGGTCACCCCTCTCTCAGGGTGGGCTTTTTTCCCACAGTGACTGTTGCGTGGAGTGATGCTCACTGAACGTGCTGGTTAACCCAGTTGGGCGATGCTCTTTCTGGTAAAAGTAAGCCACATTTACAACCCGACGACACGCCCCGCGTGGTGTGGACACGGAGCTTTAGAGCCGCTCCAGAGCCGACGGGCGGTTTTACCCCACGACAGACAGAGCTGCAGTCTGGAAACCAGCCAGTCGCCGTTTGAAAACCTTGTCCCGTGCTCAGTGTCGTCCTGAGCTTCCCCGGAAACGGGCCTTCCCGAGCCAGCCTTCTCTCTTCCCACCTCGGGGGTGCCGGGCACTGGGCGAGGTGGCCTGTCGCGTGGGTTCCTGGGCAGGGCGGCCTCCGTGGCACGTTGTCGTGTGTGGGACCTGGTGCCGGAGGGTCAGGGTTAGAGGGATGTCGGGTGTGCGACGCGTCAGACAGCCTGTTAGAAACGCCAGCTTTTTTCAGCACTGCTGTCCCGGCGCCGTGCTTCTGCTGCCGTCTGGGGCGGATGCCAGGGACAGGGCGCAGGGTGGTGGCAGTGCGGCCGGGCTCCTGGGGATCCGAGAGGGTCCCTGGGGCAGGAGCGGAGATCCGGAGGCAGGCGTCGCCCGCTGGTGTCGCTGTCGGGGGCGTAGGGTCAAGGCTCCGCACGTGCTCGGACGTTTGAGGGCGGCCAGGGCGCTGCTCTGCATCTGTGTGACGGCGGGGCCTTGCTGGCAGCGGGTGTCACCTGGGAAACGCCACCCGGGAGGCGCCGTCCTCCACCTCGGTGGCTCTCGTGTCACTTTGGCCCACCCGTGTGAACCAAGCTCCCCTCCCCACTGGCAGTGCCTCCTTTTGTTTTGGGTGGAGAATGTGACTGTGCGGTAATTCATGAGCGGCGGCGCGGGCGTGTGTGAGAGGACGCGGGAACGCTCTCCGTGAGCGGCGCAGGCCCTCCCCTCCCGCGGGCAGGAGCGGCTCGAGCGCCCTCCCTCAGCGGTGTCCCTCCGCGGTGGCGGTGCCCTGATGCCTGGGATGAGCCGACTCCGTGTGGGGTCACCCCGGCCTCACACTCAGTTGCAATACCCTCCCCACAAACACATGTGCTCACACATGCACACAGATTTGTGTGTGTTCGTGGCTTTTTGTTATCGAAAAGATCTTACAAAGTTTTCTCACCAAGGAGACCACCTCTCTCCCTGCCTCTTTCTAGAAGGCCAGCAGCGAAGCCAGTCAGAGCGACGTCAGCTCCTCTTCCTCAGAACCAAAAGGTAAAAGCAGCCTGGAGCCGCGGGCCCGTGAAACCAAAATCGGGTCCTTCTTGAACGCCAGCGGCCTTTGCGTGGAGGACCAGGCCAGCCCCGGCCCGCAGGAGGGCGACGCGGACGGAGACTCCTTCTTCGATGATCCCATTCCGAAACCCGAGAGGACTTACGGTTGGTGAGTGGCTGTTTTGGGGGCTGTCAGACTAGAGGCTTAAAAATACAATTTCTTAATTTTTGGGGGGGTTGGCCAAAAAGCCTGTTACATTTTTTTCCCTAAGATAAAAGACACGTTTTTCATTGTCACCAGTAACTTGATTGACGTGGGTATTTTGAGTGTCGGCTCTCTCCTGCTATTGGCTGACGGTGGGCGGAGGCCAGGGCGCTGCCGAGCATCTTCCAGTGCACCAGGCAGCCCCACAGCAGGGGGTTGTTTGGCCAGCATGTCAGTTGTACCAAGACACTTCGCAAACACTCAACACAATTGATCAGTTACAGCACCTTCTCCACACATGGCACAGACCTTTTTTTTGCCTTTCAGTTGTGTTTTTTTCTTTCTTGAAAAAGTGAAGCATAATATGCTGAAAACATCTGGTGGGTCAGCGCAGGAGTAAGGAAAGGCAGGAGCCCGCTGCTGTGGGCAGCTGCACGGGGGCAGGCGTGACCGCTGCTGAGCCTCTGCTTGTCTCTCGCTAGGAGAAGTGCGCCCGGGGAGCGCGGAGGAAGCCCGGCCTCGCCCTCGGACGAGCCCCCGTCACAGAGCGGACGCAGCGCCCCCACGGGAGCCCCCTCCTCGACAGACGCAGAAAGTGAGTGACGGCGCCGCGCGTGCCGACCGCAGGCATGGGCTCCGATGCGGCTGGTTGCTCTCAGTCGTGTGTTCTCAGAAAAGTGTATGTGAGTCACAAGAATAGTTTATTCTCTTAGCGTTCAGAGGTATTTCCTGCTAACACTGTGTTCTGTGCTTTTATTCCTTATTTATTAATTTACTTTTAGAGAGAGGGGAAGGGAGGGAGAAAATGAGGGAGAGAGACATCAGTGTGTGGTTGCCTCTCACGCGCCCCCTACTGGGGACCTGGCCCACAACCCAGGCCTGTGCCCTGACTGGGAATCGAACCAGTGACCCTTTGGTTCTCAGGCCGGCACTCAGTCCACTGAGCCACACCAGCCAGGGCTGTTTCTTTTGAGTCTGACCTGTATTTTGCTGCTCCTTGACCATTGGAGTGCTCTCAGAAAGTCGACTGCTGCCCGTCGTCTGCCGTGCTGCGTGGATGTGCTGTGTTCAAACCAGCTCTCTCTCGGGCACTGGGATCGACTGGAGTGGGACTTAAGTCAGTTAATTCCTAGGAGCTTGTGTCGTGGATCACGTGATGCCACGGTGACGACACGGGACACTGGACTGTGCGGCTGCCCTCGGGGTCAGTCAGTCCTGTCCGTGCAGCAGGGGCCAGGCTGGTGGCTGCACAGCTCCTGGGGGCGTGGGGTGACGTGGGTGCTGTGGGGGGCGAACAGAGGGCTCGGTCGGCAGCGTTCGGAGCGCACACGTGCCCCTCCTGGTGGGGGTTCTGGGTGCGGCCCGGCCCTTCAGCAGGAGATCACCGCGGTTCCGCGTCCATCTGTGGGGCACTCGGGGTGGGCTGTGCTGGCTCGTCACCATGTGGGGCGTCAGCTGTGTGGCTGTGGCCATGCCACCCTCCTTCCCTCTTCCCTGAGGTCCTCGTCACCTTCAGGGAGGAACCCGGCTGTCCGGTCAGGTCTCGGTCAGCACTGGTTGGGGGACCGAGGAGGGAAAGCAGTGAGGGGCGGGCGCGACGGGGACAGCGCTGGGCGTGGGGGGGCAGCCCACAGTGGACGCAGCCACTGCTCAGTGTGTCCTCACGTCTTGTAGCGTCAGGTTGTTAAGCTAATAAAACTGGCGTGTTTTATGGGCGGTTGTGTTCCAGCTGCTGACTTAATGAGAGCGTCTCTGTTCACAGGCAGAAGAGGAAACACAGTGTCGAAAGGTCTGAAGCTGGTCAGTGACAGAGTTGGGTCCCTCGCATTAGGTAACCAGGTCTCTCCTGTTCGTGTTGATGGCTGGGAGGTGATCCTTTTGGGGGTTGTTTTTTGTGGTTCTGTTTTGGAGTAGAATCTTAAGCGACCCCTGGGGGGGCACGTGTTCACTGGTCGGGGTGCCCAGTGTCTGCCTGCCGGGACACAGCAGCCTGGCCGGCTCCGCTGGTGGCAGTGACACCTGGGGCGGGCGGGCGGGCGGCAGCTGCAGACCCGCTGTGGCTGGAGGCGTCGGCACACGCAGCTGTGGGTGTGGGGCACGGGCCCCTCCACCCGGCCCTGCACCGGTGCCACAGGGGCCTCTGCTGGGCACTTGCAACCGAGCATCGTTCCGGGTGCCGGGGACCCGTGGCCCTGTTCTCGGGTTGGGGGTCTGCTGGGGGGACAGGCTGTGGCAGTGCCATGGGTCGCAGCTCTGCACGTGGGCCACGGCGATGGTCCTGGTGCCACCCGCGTCCCCTCACAGGGGAGCACGGGGGCGTGGACGCACCGTGCCCGGCCTCAACCCTCTGTCTGCACAGCCGGGCGGCGTGGAGGGGCACATGGCTCCCCACTTGGCAGCTAGCCCCCTGGAAGCAGACAGTGTAGCCGTTTCTCTGTGACCATTTTCTTCCTGTGTGGGGGACAAGGTGTGTGTGTAAGACAGAGGGAGACACAGCATTAGGGTGTCTTTGTGCCCTGGTGCTGGTCCCATCAGGGGTCCCAGGGCTCACCTCATGGACAAGCCGTCCGGGAGGGTGTGGCCAAGGGGCTCCTGACCTTTGAGAGGACAGCGCGTGCTGGGGGGGGGGGGTGTCCAGGAGGACAGGAGCGCGGGTTTGGAGGGGTGGGTGCCGTCAGTCCCCACAAGTGGCACTGCGTGTCGGGGACGCCAGGGAACCAGCTGTCTCCTCGCCAGCTGAGTGGGACTCGGCACATCTGGACCTGTGGGCGTCTGCTCGCCGCCTCTGCTCCCCCGTTTGCCGCCTGTCAGGGCAGAGTTCGTACCACCCAAGCTGCCAGGCTCTGGCCCCCGGGGACCCGGCCTCGTGGTCCCCCCACATCACTGGTCAGGGGCTGGCCAGCCAGGTGGGCCTGCTGCCCCTGCTCATTCTCTTTCCCCTGAGGTGCGACCACGTTCGCAGTCAGGCGTCCTCCTCCACGGCCCAGGGGGGAGTCTGCCCCTAGGACGTGCCCTCTGGGTGGCCCCCTGTGGACGCTTGCCCGAGCTCCACACCCGGCAGCCGCCCTGCCCTGCTGTGTTCCGGTCTTCGCGTGTCATGCCTTTTCCACGTGGCTTCCCTGTGACTGCCCTGTCCCCTGTCCTCCTCCTCCAGCAGGAGGGCCCCTGCTGCCGTGACGTGGCGGGTACGGTAGCGTGGGGCTTGGGTGTGGCACCTGGCCACTCTTGGGGCTGGGCTTCTTGGTAGTTAACTCGGGCGACACAGTTGACTCGCTGGACGTTGGGCCGCTCAGCCAGAAACCAGGGCTCTGTGCAAACGAGCAGCTTGCTCGGCCCCGCTCACCGGTGTTGTAGCAGTGCTGCTTCGCTTCTGTTTTCGTTGTTTTCAAGGCTGGAGACAGTGTCAGGAGCCAGTGGACCCGCCTAGGACAAGGCGGGGCTAGTGAGGGTCGCCCGCCCTGACCGAGAAGCTGGTTTATTTCGGCTCCCGTCGTGGGTGGCTGGTGTAGCTGCACCTCCTCCCCTCAGAGGAGGAGCCTAGGTCCGGGGGTCCTGAGATCACACCCCTTTGGGGTCCTGCCACATCTGCAGGTGCCCCGAGTGCCTTTTTGTGGCCGAGGGCTCCTGGGAGGCCGTGTCAGGGCAGAAGACTCTGAGCCGTGGAGCCAGCGTGCTCGCAGGCGCCCGTGTTCGAAGGTGGGCGGCGCTGTGTGTGTGGGCAGTGCGGATGCGCAGACCGCTCAGGCCCCGTGGCCCCTTCCTTACCACCGATCACCCCTGCCCCCCCGCAGCCGAGCTCTGTGAGATCAGAGATGCCACTGCCCCTACACCGAGCTGCAGAGGACCTCACAGGCTCATGTTGGACGAACGAGTAGTTTGGGGGCCTTTGTTGGAAGAGGACCGCCTGGTCTGACGGCCCACCCAGAGCCTGACCCCTCAGCAGTGCCCGGAGCGTGGACACGGCGTCTGGTCTCCCGGGAGTTCACGGGCCTGCGCAGTGGCGCGTCTCTGCCAGTGCCTGCTCGGGCCCAGCTCCCCCTGGGATCCACCGTGCTCTTGGGGTGGTGTGTGACTTGTGTCCTCCCCATGCCAGTCATCCGCGGCTCGGACGGTGGCCCTGGGCCTGCGGTGACGCCGCTCCCTGGTGTCGTCTGCTGCCCTCAGAAGGCGCTGGGGCTGTGTGTGCACCGCACGACGCGGGGGCCCATCTGGCTGCAAGTGCCCTTCCCTCGTGGCGTCCCTTTCTGAGTGCCCTGTGCGGACGCCTGTGCTGGGCAATGACAGCATGGACCCTCAGTCCAGCCTGTGCCGGGGGCCATCGCCACAAGCCCAGGGGACAGCCAGGGCCACTTGTCTCACTCTCAGGCCAGAGGGGCCCCAGTGCCAGCCCACTCGGACCGCTGGCTGCCCAAGGGCAGTCTTGGCTGCCGTGCCGGTGCTCACCTTGGCCCCTCTCCGGCAGTGGGCTGGGGGCTTGGCGACAGTCCGCTCGCTGTGTCCCCCGTCCTGCCTGCGACTCGGTCTGAGCGTCGGACGGCGGTGTCAGGGGGAAGCCTGCAGCTGAAGCTTCTGAGTGCTTGGAACACAAACGGCGTTAACTACGTTTTGCAATAGGACGAGACAGTTTATTATTTGTTAGGTGTTTTATTTTGTCACGTGCTTTTATGTTACATATGATAGAAGTATTATTTCTGGTGTTTGAGGTTTCTTTTGTAACAATGCCACATTACCCAGTAACACTTTTCGGAAGGAAACGTGCATGTTTAGTTGTAGATAAATCGCAAAGCGTGTTCCTATAACTGTAACGAATCTTTTTCTAAACTTTCTAGGGTCCGGAGAAGACGACTACGTTGACGATTTCAACAGGTGAGAAAAGCAGCTGGGCGGCAGAGGTCAGTGGCGAGTGGACAGAGCCGCACTGCTGCTGCTCCTGGTGGGCTGGACCCCTCGCTCACACTGACGGGTAGACTCAGGCTGCCCACGGGACGCACCGGGCTGCCCACGGGACGCACCGGGCTCATCGGACAGTGTGTCCGGGGGACTTGGAGGGGGTGAGGCAGAGAGCCCGCACTCGGGCACGGCCTCGCGTCTCTCAGAAACGGCGAGGCCACCAGGGGAGGGGGCCCTTTTCTCCGCCCCCACCGACCCCTCTTCTGGTTCGGCTGACTTTGTACATGAAGAGCAAACTGGTGGTTAACGTGGAGGTGGTATTTGTGGTGGAGGTGACAAGGAACTTTAAATCTGAGGCTGAGAGTTTTCTGTATTTGACAGGCCCCCTGCCCCAAACAGGGTGGTTGGTTTCTTTTCTAGCAGCAGAGTTTCTCAGTGTTTAGAGAGGAGATTCCGGGTTTGCCTCTTGCTGCCCCGGGATTACCGCGCCCAGGAGCCCGTCTGACCCTGTCGGTCGCTGTCCCCTGCCTGTCCCTGGCTCGTCGGCAGGCCCAGGGACAGCGTGCATGTGGCTGCTGTCCCTGTGCTGTCAGGTTCCCTTTAAGGGTTCCGTGTGTGACCGGTGGGGGAGCGGCAGCCCTCTGTCCTCGCGCACTCAGAGTCCCTGTCTCCCCTGCTCCCAGCACCAGCCACCGGTCCGAGAGGAGCGAGCTGAGCCTCGGCGAGGAGATCGAGGAGGACCTCTCCGTGGGGCTGGACGACGCCAACGCCAGCGACAAGGTGCGGGGCTGCCCCGGGGAGGGCTCTGGGCACCTGTCGCCGCCCGGGTGTCCTGGGAGCTCCAGAACCTCCACTGATCAGGAAAACAGTTGAAAATTGTGATGCTGGTGACAGTGACCTGTCTCATCTGGAAAGGACGCCTTCCATGAGGATGTAGGACTGGTTTCCATCGTCACTCCCTTTGGGGACTGAAGGTGTTCCCAGCACGTCTGGGTGTTGTGACTGGGCATCGCCGAGGAGGCCCAGTGACACTGAGGTGGCCCCGGGGGTCAGGGAGAGGCCGCTTCAGGAGTGGGCACCGGGGGGGGGGGGGGAAGGTGCTGGGGACGCAGACAGGCCTTGGGGCTCCACAGGAACAAGTGCTCCTGGGTGTGGGGGGGGCGGGGGGCGCCTCGGGGTCCCAGGTAGGTGGCGCTGCAGAGAGCTGTGCCTTCTCGGGGAGCCTGCTTTCCGAGGGGCCACAGTGCCTGTGGCCTGCCCGTGACGGCCGTGGGGGGAGGTGGCTTTCTGTAGTGGGAATGGCGCGTCTGAGCTCACAGAGCCTAGGTGTGCACCTACTACACGCCGTGCGCTTCCACGAGTTCTGACGGGCCGTCAGCAGCCCTGCCTCCTGGTGGGTCGGGTCTCGAGTGTTGGGTGGGGGGAAGGGGAGGCGGGGGAGGTCGGGGGGAGTGGGGGGCGGTCGGCAGGCGCCGCTGTACGCAGTGTGTTCTGACCGCACGCGGGCCTCTCCTTGGGCGCTGACGTGGCCGTTCTCTGCTTCGCCACCAGCTCGATGACCTGACTCAGGACCTGACGGTGTCCCAGCTCAGCGACGTGGCGGACTACCTGGAGGACGTGGCGTGCGCCTGAGCGGCGGTGGTGCCGGGGTCCTGCAGGGTGGGTGAGACCCACCGCCGGAGTTTTGGGACCGTCTTCCCTGGCTGGACCATCCGCTCTCTGTCGGTGCCTTGTACTTCCAAAGACTGCAGATATTTTTAAAAATTACTTTTTCATCGTGCTAAACAAGATATTTCTGTTGAGCCTGTTTGGAAGATCAAATCGTCTTCATTTGGTTTACCAACACGTTTCTCTGTGGCAATTAATTACACAAACTCACGGCAAGGAGCGAGCCTGCAGACACAGCTGTGTTAAGAGCCAAGTGCGAGGGGGTCCCCGCAGCTCTACATGGGCCGCTCAGTGTGTCGCTGTGGGGGGCACAGCGGGCCTGGCCACCCCGCCACCCCACACGGGCCTGCGGTGGGGGGCGGGCAGTGGTGTGTCCGCTTCCATCGGGACTGTCCGCTGGACCGTGCAGGTGACCTGGACGGGCTCCGGGTGTGCTGCTTAGTTCTGCCTGTGGGTAAAGGAGCCTAGAGGTGGTCGTGACTTCTGTTTGGGGCGGTTGTCACTGCCAGTGTTGCGGTGGCTGTCCTGTGTCCACGTGAGGACCGACCTTTAGGCCCTTGTCTGCTGGAGCTGTTGGTTTCTTGTAACGATGCCTTGAAGTGCCACACACCATCGGCATCCGGGACCGACGGGCGGCGCTTCTGCGTCCAGTCTGTGGGACTGTGGTGGCGGTGGCCGAGGACCATGTGCAGGTGCACAAGCTTGCTGTGCGGACCCTGGTCTCGCTGCCACCCTGGACAACCCAGCTAGGTCTTGCAGTGCCCTGTGGTGCCACCGCAGACAGCGACGCCGCTGGACTGAGCGGGGACAGTGGGCAGTGGCGTGCGTGTGCATGTGCGTGATTACAGGTAAAGCTGTGATGGTGTGGTGAGCTTCGTACCTCTTTATGGCAGTTGGATTACGGGTTTTATTAAGTCCCCTTTCCTGGTAAAAGGAGACGTGAATCTGCCGACCTCAGCAGGTGAGCAGACTGGACGGTGTGTGCGCCGCCGCTGTTCTGTTGCCCAGCGGCCTCGGAGTCACAGACACGCTCGCTGGCCCGCGGAGGGTGGGTTCTGCAGCCCCGGAGCCCGACTCTGGGAGACGGAAGCGGGGCCGAGACGCGGGCCTCGGGCTCCCACCCCCGCTTGTCATCAGTTGCACCTCCTTGGACAACATCGCTGTTCACTGTAGCTGTCGAAGAAGCACAGATCTGTCCAGCCTCTGGGGGTCATGTCAAACGTGTGACTTATTTTTACGTTAGTTGACAGGAGTCAGATTGTTGTGAAATGAAAGCATAGCAGGAGATGGCTTTTAGTTTGGGGACAACTTCTGAACGGTGGTGCCTAAAATCAGGCAGTTTCCTGTTACCCAGAGAACCCGACCTTCCCATGGCGTCTTGGGAGGGTGCAGGGGAGCGCGCCGCCCCTGCCCGCTGGCGTCCCAGCTGAGGGAGGCCTGCCTGGCGGTGCGGAGGGAGTTCCTGAGTTCCTGTGCTGCCCGGCCACACGGGGCGGAGTGTGGGTGGTGGTTTTGTTACGTGTGCTGAGACGTCAACCCTGGTGACACACGGGTTGGCAGTGTGGTGACAGGTCATCACGGTAAAAACCGTCTCCTACGGTGCGTTTCTCAAATGCTAGACCTCATTCTGTCCGTGATGACTGAGATGAATAAAAAGCTCATACCTCTAACACTGTGCAGTGTGTGACCACGACCAGGCCCGAGCGGGGTCCGCGTGGGTTGTGCTCCCGTCTCGGCCCCTCCGTGCCTCAGTCCAGCCTCGGCAGGGTCCAGGGGTCCCGAAGGTAGGTAAGGCGTCGGCACTGGGTAACAGACGACAACACGCCTCAAAGGACAGTGAAGCTCTGTTCCGTTTATTGCAAGTACAAGCAGGTTTTTATATTTTCATTTTAGGTAGTGACTAACATTTGCAGTATAGCATGATCAGTTAAGCAAAAAAATCAATACAAAGGTAACCAGGAAAAATACGAAAGTTCCCATAGATTTAGTTATAATAAACAAAGATTATTTTGATCAGGAGAGCCATAAATCAGACAATTAGAAATAGCCGTATGTACAGAATTTGAATGTCTTATTGTATATTAAAGTTTCTCAGAATTTGTCATGGGGCAAAAGGATACGCTAGATTGAGTAGAGGTAATAGGAGATTTATTATAAGGCCTTTGTGATGTCTAACTTAGCTATCTGTCCTTTTCTGTCTAAAATGTTTGTGTACTATAAACTCTGACTCCTTAGTAACTGTTTCTACGTGTTTAGTTTGTAATAGTTAACCAGCCTTTTTTTCTTTGCCTGTCAAATTGATATATACTCTTAATCAAGGTAAAGGAGGGGCTGTTACTCCAACAACTTTTAGACATTTAGGAGCTGTTTCATTAGAGGGGATCTTTCCATCCTTTCAGGCAGTTTCGTGGGGAATACTAATGTTTTCCCCTGAATTGTCCCTTCCTCTTGGGTGACTTTCACAGGAATAAGTAAGTACAGTTCAATGTCTATATTCAGTAGCAAGAGTAAAATAATTAAAATAAAACAGCCCATTGTTAACCCATTTTGGATGCCACGTTCTCCTCCGGGGAGACGAATTCCTTGAACTTGAGTCCTCCGTGCCCGGACCTTGTCAGATGACATGGTTGGAAGAGGACAGGGCACCGCTCTGTGCTGGCCGGGTGCTGGGAACTGCCACTCCAGGTGGCAGCTGCCTCCCGAGGATGGTGCCGTGTTGTTTTGGGGGCACAGCTGTGTGCCCCAGCCCTGAGAGGAGGGGGCTTGCAGTTCAGCGAAGGTCCCTGGCCGCCCCTTCTGCCACCAGGGCAGGTGGGAGTATTGCTCTCGAAAGAGGGGATGGCCGTCCTGTCCACGCTTGGTGTGGCTGCCCGCACAGCAGGGAAGCAGGGTGGGACTCGAGGTGGCCGGCCTACAACCCGTCTGGACGAGGAAGGGGGCAGGCAAGGCAGGGCCACTGGCCGGTACAGATGCTCCCAGTCAGCCACTGGGCTCCTGGGGCCCCACCGTGCCCTGCGGTGCACACAGCCCCAGCCCTTGGGTGGGCCCCACTGCCAGCGTCCGTTGGGGTGGGGCTTGTTTGGGGAAACCACGTGGCAGAAAGCAGGGCAGCCCTGCTCTGAGCCGTCTGTGTGGCTTCCAGAACAGAGGGAGCTCTGCTGGAAGGAAGCGTGCAGCGTGCTACAGAAGGCCCAGGGGGCGGTTTGAGCAGCACTTGGGCTGCTGGTGCGCAGACAGGCTGAGCGGCGGGCGCCCCAGAGCAGCAAAGATCAGTCTCCCTGAAGACAGAACTCTGCTCGTCCCACAGAGAGACCAGGCGGAGGCACAGTCACCGGAGCCGTGGGCACAGCCAGCAGCGTGGGCAGGAAGGGAGGCCAAGGCCCACGGGCAGATGTGCCCTGTGGCTGGACAGTTCCGGAGGACAGTGTACCGTGGAGCTGGAGGTGGTGGCCATGCAGGCACGGTGGGAGGAGACTGTGAGGGCAGGGCTGTCTGCCCAGAGGAAATGCATCCCAAAGCCGGGGTGCCGGCCTCTCCACCGCCTGGGACCGAAAGCAGGGGACAGGAAAGCACAGAGAGGCAGGAAAGGAGACGGGGAAGCCATAGGACAAGGGTGGCCGTGCCCTGGACGCTGTGGCAGCCATCGTGACATTTTTAACTTGAGTTTGTTGTTTTGAGCAATTTACATAATCTTCAGATTTGATGAAGTTATTTTTCCCATAAATGTTTAGTTTTCAAATGTGGCCAAAAAATCAATTTTGCCGAACTCTTAGGTATAGAACCTAAGCTTTTAAATGATCTGTAGTTTGTAAAATGGAATAATAGCTCTTCTGGAGTGAAAATGTGGACGAAGTTCCCTCCTCGTTTAGTGATGAGCATTGCTCGCCCTGTTCCCTGTCAGCCCACCCGGTGTGAGCTTTTGTGTCTCCAACTGAAGTTGTAACCCGGCAGCAGGCGGTCCCCCGCGGCAGCCGACACCGCCGGGGCCAGGTGCCCTGCAAACGCCTGCGCAGCTGTGTCCCCTCCTGTGCCCCGTCCTCACCTCACACCGCGGCAGTTCCCCGTCTTTGTCCTCTCCAGGCTCTGGTTACAGCCATGTTCTCTGTCCCCTTGGTGTGCCAGGCACTGTCCCGTCCCCTTTTATTCCCTGCCCAGCCCGTTCGTTACAGGGGAATTAATACGCACTGTTACACAGACATTCCGGGCGCGGGGTGTGGGCCTGGCCCAGCGTGCACATACACTGCCCACCCACAGCCGGATCTGTGCCAAGGGTGGGGGGCGACCTGGGTGGCCTGCCAGGCTCCTGGAGACTGAGCCCTGTGCGGGGCTGCAGAGGGTCACACCACTGCCAGGAAGGGGCTGCTGGAGACGCACTGTCCCTAAGCCTCTGTGCCCCGGAAGATGGCCAGCGGGGTCTGCGCAGCAGACGGGGCCACTCTGAGCAGGAAGGGCCAAGGGCGTGCAGGGTCCTTCCTTGTCCCCTGTGGAGACCAGAGCTCAGGGCCGGAGCCATGGCTCGGCATGCCCACCCGCAAGGGGAGCCTGCCCTCCCAGACCACACAGGTCTGCGGGGTGGTCAGCATCGCTCTTGGGAAACAGCGGGCTCCCCAGGAAAAGGAACAGTTCTCACCAGGGAGAGCAGAGCCCTGGGCCTCAGCAGTCCCTGAACTCGGAGGGAAGAAAGGACAGGGCCTGGCTCCAGGGGCAGCTCAGCTTCCGGTGAGTTTCTGTTCCTCCTCTGAGGCCCCTCCACATGTCACTTCCCCCAGTGCCTTCCCTCGGCCCCTGGGCCACCTCCAGCGTCCAACGTCTATGGACCTGGGACCTCTCAGGTCTCTCTGAGTTGTAGCAGAACCTGGGTGTCCAGTCACGCCTCCGCCGGGGCTCCAGGGGGACGACAGGGAGCCACCACACAGTTTGAAACATCGCCCCCCCCCCCCGGAAAGGCCCCACCGACTCTGATCCCAGCACCCTAAAATGCAGGGAACCTCTGCACTGGAGAGTTACCTGGTAAACAGCAGGCCTCGGCACCCCGCTGAGAGCCACCCGGCCCCGGGGCCATTTTCCTTCAGGTGCATGTCTAGGGGCCCTGCTGCTCGAACCAGGCGACAGTGGTGAGCGACTAGTATGGGGACCGTCCTGCTGTTCAACGCGATGGCCACAGACACCAAACACAGTGAGCCAGGAGTTAAATTTGGGGTGGAAACAGTGAAAACGCTCTAGGGTATTTGCTAATCCCAGTGATGAAGAGTGCCTCACACAAACGCCACAGAAACACTGGGTCACGGCTGAGTCCACAGAATGCTGGTGAAGGCCACCGTCCCCCACGCATCTGGACAGCAGCGCCCCCACGGGCCTGCGGTGGGCCAGCCCCAGGTGGCTGCAGGTGGCGCTCCTGTCTCCGTGCCCTGCCCCTGCACCGTGGCAGGTGCAGAGCCCAGGGACCCTGGTCTTCCCTGCCGCTACCCCTGTGGCAGCCCACGGACCCAACTCCTCTCAGGGCCAAGCTGCACAGACCGAAGGCGGGGGTGTATCAGGGAGGGGCCGAGAGCGATTCCCTTGACCAGGTGGGGACTAGGAACAGGCACCCATGGGCGACCCAGTTTGGCCCACTTGCATACCAGCCCTGCTGCCCGTCGGCGTGGCGCTCCGCCTCTCCGTCAGTGTCCTGCCTGGGGAAGACCCTTCACGTTCGCACACAGCGCCTGGTGTTGGCTGGCTTTTGTGGGTCGTCCCTTCGGTGTCGCGTCCAGACGCTCGTCACCAAACGAGGAGGCCGTCCGAACTACTCCTACTCACCCCGCGTCCTCAGCAGGGTGGGCTCCCGCCGTGTCTTCGGGGTTCCTGCCTCGTGCCCCTGGAAACGCGAGCACAGACGACGGGACCTGGGAACCTCTGTCTGTCTGTCCGTTCAGTACATTCCTTGGCCTGGCCCAGGTCCCAGAAATGTTCGTTCAAAACCCCTTACCACGCAGAGGCGCAGACATGTTTTCTCTGAGCCCGTAGCCCACATCGGGCCACCGGGCACAGCTCACCAGACAGTGCCACCCGGGCTGTGGGCGCGGCGGGCCGGCCCCGCACGCTCCCGGCCCTTTCCAGTGATGACGCCCGCCCTCCGTGGGAATTGGCTTGTGCCTGCGCCGCCCACCACGTGACGTGCACCAGGCGCCCCGTTCTCAGTCCCTGCAGAGCTGAGCCCTTGGCGCCACCGCCAGCTCTGAAACCCTTTGGTCACCCCTATCGAGGCCACGCCCCACTGTCCGCCCCTCCCCCTTCACCAGGACAACTGCTTCCGGTTGCCACTGAACGCCTGTTCCGGCTGCGTCTTGTAAACGGAAGCACAAGATGTGTGACAATACGTCTCCCTGACCGGCATCCCTCCCGCAGCCTCGAGTGCTCCTGGTTCGCGCACGCGGTCGCCTCTCACACTGTCTCCTTTCCCATCACCACGTGACCTGGCCTGCGGGATGTGGCGAGGTGCTGTCGGTAAGCTGGCGGACGCGGGGCTGCGTCCACGTTCCGCTGACACGGACAGCCCAGCCGGGAGCGCCTGCACGCACGCCTCGTGAGGACGCGTGACTGCCTCGGGGCACCTCCAGGTGGAGCGTCTGAGCCCTGGGAACTCGGCGAGCGGACTTGCGGCACTGCCTCAGGTGGTAGCTGTGCCGCCTGCTCCTGTCCCCACGCCGCCACCGGCGCTCAGGGCTGCCACTCTGCTGAAGCGGAGCCGCTCCGGCGGGGGTGCAGTGGCCTTGCCGTGTGGCCTGGCCGTGCCCGGGCGCGTTTGCACGCGCATGAGAGCCGCGTGCCTGCATCAGGGCAGGCGGAGGCCCTGGGGCCGCCCTGGAGGCTGGGCCTCGACCAGTGTGCGAGTTTTCTCTTCCGTTGCCGCGTCCGTTCTTCCGGACGGGGCGCGGAAACCCGCAGCGTTACTGTTGAGCCGTCTGTGTCCCTTTGGTTCTGTTTTTTTTTTTTTTTTTTAATTTTGTTTCGCTGTTGTTCAGCGCTCTAAGTCTCAGCAACTGAACACGCTGGGGGCGGGGGGACCTTTTGGCGTCTCTGGGCCGCGCTGGAAGAAGAGTTGTCTTGGACCACACATTAAATACACAAACACTAATGATGAGCAAAAAAGAAGTTTTGAGTAAATTCACGATTTTGTGTCGGGCCGTGCGCACAGCCATCCCAGGCCGCAGGCTGGACACCCCTTTAGCGATGAGAATTTCGCTTCTAACTCCCATGAAAACCCAGCCAGCCTTCAGGGTGGGGTCTCCTCCCCACCGCTGCGTCCCCACCGCTGCATCCAGCGCCAGGCTCCTCCGCCCACCGTGGTCTTTGCAGGATGACTGTCGAAGGTCCTGGGTGCGGTGGCAGCTGGGAAACGGCAGCACCTGGGTTTCGGGTGCTGCTGTCCTTGCGGCCCTGAGGGAGGACCAAGCCTTTCCTTAAGAGAGTGCCTTTGATGCACTTACTTATTTAGACGTATAATTTAATTGTCATTTTGAATGTATTCAGTGTTGAAA